GTGAACGAACTGGACACCTTAAGCTGTTTCTTTAACAACTGTTTCAGGTTTTGTGAACGAACTGGACACCTCAAGCTGTTTGTTTAACAACTGTTTCAGGTTTTGTGAACGAACTGGACACCTCAAGCTGTTTCTTTAACAACTGTTTCAGGTTTTGTGAACGAACTGGACACCTTAAGCTGTTTCTTTAACAACTGTTTCAGGTTTTGTGAACGAACTGGACACCTCAAGCTGTTTGTTTAACAACTGTTTCAGGTTTTGTGAACGAACTGGACACCTCAAGCTGTTTCTTTAACAACTGTTTCAGGTTTTGCGTGGGAGACAGGTTCTACCTGCACGAGAACAAGATACTGTGTGAGTACGACTACGAGGAGAGAATGGTATTTGCCAACATGTCGTCCGACAGTATTGCCCAGATGAAACGACAAGCAGCGAGGATCGGATTGAGTCGCTCAGTGGAGACTTGTAGTGGTTATGGAAGTACAGAACCAGTTTGTGGTGAAGCGAAATGACAAACTACAAACAGGCGAAATCTACTTTACTAAAGATCCGAGAGGACCTTGATCCCCCAGAATCTGGTGATGAAGAACAACTATGTCGTTGGCTAAGTGAGGTCATAATCACGTGACATAGTTATATATGTATCACTGACAGCTGGTTTGCGCTCTCCAGGAGACTTTAGATAAATTGAGTTCGGTTTCTGCCTGTCAGAGTGTAAATTCTTAAAAGAAACCCTATGTGCAATACTTATTTTGATCTAATGATCTAAATAAAATTACCGCCGCTTCCCACTCCTTCTTCTGAATAACAGCTGGATAAAAATAACTTAAATGACTTTTCTGTATTACTATAACACTGACTGTGACTGCTTGCTTAATGTTTCATGTTCGGAATTCCTTTATTTTTCTCGTAAAAGTTTAATTGAAAATGTTTAAGCGATATTAATCAACAAAGTCACGGAACAGACAACAAAAAGTAATAACATATTGTAAAATTAGATCTTTCATATATCTTACTATTACCCATAATACAAAATAACCTTAATACTTAATGATAATGTAATAACATATTGTAAAATTAGATCTTTCATATATCTTACTATTACCCATAATACAAAATAACCTTCATACTTAACAATAACGTAATAAGAACCTAAAACAAATCATAAGATAATATAACCATCACATTAAACACGTCATAAAATAACCTTCTTACAAAGCCGTAGCATAACTTTTATATAAACCAAAACATAACATAATCTCAATCCAAACAACGATGATAGAATACCCTTAATACAATCAATATACCCTTAACAAAATGTAACGTAATTTTTTTTTTCATATTGAAATAGTTTTTGTATATTTCAATAATTATCGGTTGTTGGCCTTTTAGGATTCTATAGTTTAATCCTTTTGTTGTTACGTGCGTATTTCATCGCTTGTTAATCTTCTAGACTTCCGAAATAATTGGTACATTACTTCAATTGCTTCTTCCCGTCATTCTTTTTGTGAAATTCTTGGCTAAACACGTGAGGAACGATACGATTGTTAGACATAGTGATAAGTATTTAACGTGTTAATCGAACAGTCATCACTCAAACACTATTGCTTTTAACCAATGACCGGGATTGATAACATTTGTGTAGAACGAAATAGAAGCACTGTTCAATATAACTCTTTAAAGAACGTCAAATCACTAAGAAAGTAAGAACCCTAAATCCGAGACCTTTCTTCTTCAGGTTTGTTTGCTTAGCAAAGTTACACAATGGGCTATCTGCACGTTGTCCACCACAGGGAATCGAACTCCGGATTTTAGTGTTATAAGTCCTAGAACTCACCGCTAACACAAAGGGAACCGGGAGGATGAAGAAAAACGTTTGGATTGTTTAGGGTTTTCTCTTTCTTCGATACATATTCCTTGAAACTATTACAAATTACTCAGTGATGTAACAATAAGGACGATGATTGTTTTTTCAAATATTTATGTTTTACAAGTTGATATGACCTTATATCTTATACTTAGGACTAACCTAGACTTCATAAGCTGGCCTTGTGAGATACTACAGGATTTATGGCCGAAAATGCCGTTAGCACTCAACTGATGAAACGAAGCGTTATAATTAATTTAGATATTAAAAATTAATATTAGGCCTATTATATTTTTTAACATTGCAATACATGTATCTAGTCGCTTAGTAGCTCCCCCTCCCCTCCAGTGGCACGGTGGTAAGTCTGAAAAAAAACCAGGTTTCGATACCCGTGGTGGGCACAGCACAGATAGCTCAATGTGTAGCTTTGTGTTTAATTACAAACAAAAGTGAAAATAAAATAAATAAATAAGTATATATAAAATAGGCCTAATACTAACGTCTGATGACAAGTATGATTAATTATATTCATGTTTCTCCAGCTATAAAGGGGCCTTCAAACCATAACAATTATTAATACATTCTAATCGTTATAAAATATTATGTAAGAATGGTGTAGGTGATTTACTAGACTGATGGTCCCGATGATTTTTAACTTCGATCTTGGTACACAGCTTATTCTGATCAGAATTGTGTTCTTCATTCCGAAATACCTTGAGATTATTGCTCACTGTATACTGTGGCCAGCTATGTGATAAGAAGATGTGAACTAATGACGTATTTCATTGTGTTAGTCCAGCAGTAATCAAACAAATCCTTACGGTTCGTTAAAGGAAATAGTTAATAACTTTATCAGTCTTTGTTGTTGTTTTTTAAATATAAACTCTACTGAGTAATTTGATTACCTTAAGTAAACTATCCTGATTTCACATTCTCAGCCACTGGAAAGCCGAAATAAGGGCATCCATGTGTGTGTATGGTGGCTATATTGTCTGTTTCGAACTTCCGTATTAAATCGTATACATTCCTGCATAATAAGGCTTCAGTTTGGTCTAAATTGAACGACGTACTTATACGTTGAACCTAAGTACAAAATATCAATTATCTCCGCGCATGTTAAATTAAATCTGTCTTCTCAATAAACGTTTGTACGACTTCTTTAGTACCATTAATCGTTCGTGTGGATAACTCATTTATCTTATTGTCTGAAGTTCGTTTATAGTGTGTTAGTGCATCTTTAATAGGCTAATGTGAAAATAGGTCAACTTGTACAAATGGTTTCAAAGGTTGTAAATCTAGTCATGTTTTATAAACGTCTGAAGATCCAAATAAAACATTGAAGCAAAACGAAGTGTTGTTAATATCTGTTAAGTCACGTGGTTAATACGACGCGTCCCTAGAGTCTGAAAACTGCATAATTCCGTTAAAGTTAACGAGCAACCTAAAAACCAGACGTTTAGTGAACTACATGCTTGTTAGGGATTCGTAAAAACTAAAACCTTAGTGTATGTATAATATATACTTCCCTCAGACCACTAAAATTTAGTGTTTTATCTGTTTCTTCTCACTAATTACAAAACGTTTCGTTTCTTAAGCCTACTGACGTCATAGTAGTTGTCAAGTACTTGGTATTTTATCTGTTTCTACTCACTAATTACATGACGTTTCGTTTACTGACATTTTCAGGTGCTATTGACAAAAAACGAGTTTTTGGGAAGTGAACATCTGTGGAAAAGCTGAGAAGATTTGGACGATATCTGAAGATCATGGAAGACAGATAGAACTTCTAGTGGTCTGAGGGAAGTATAGAACATAAATACAGAACCTTTAATGGTCTGAGGGAAGTATAGAACATAAATACAGAAGCTTTAGTGGTCTGAGCGAAGTATAGAGCATAAATACAGAACTTTTAGTGGTCTTAGGGAAGTATGGAACATAAATACAGAACCTTAATTAAATACTACTGATGTCAATATACTTAAGAAAGTTGAAACAAATAAAACACTGATGAATTAGCATTGTGACGTTAGTAGACGTAAGAGACGAAACGCTGTGTAATGAGTGAGAAGAAACAGATAAAACAATAATTAATTAAATACTACTGATGTCAATATACTTAAGAAAGTTGAAACAAATAAAACATTGATGAATTAGCATTGTGACGTTAGTAGACGTAAGAGACGAAACGCCGTGTAATTAGTGAGAAGAAACAGATAAAACAATAATTAATTAAATACTACTGCTGTCAATATACTTAAGAAAGTTGAAACAAATAAAACACTGATTAATTAGCATTGTGACGTTAGTAGACGTAAGAGATGAAACGCTGTGTAAGTAAGGAAAAATAGGTTATTAAACACCAAAAATGCTAACTTAAATTACATACACTTCCTACGTAAGTTCTGATAATAAAAACAAGTTGATATTTGTTTATACATTATGCAAAAAAATTAATATTCTCGAAACAGTTTTGAAAAATAATAAAAAAAAATCTCGACCAGAAAAATAAATGGTTACTAGATTGTTTTGACAAAGGTTTTAGTATCATCATTGTAATTAGACTTTTCGGAAAATATATTTCCTAGTTCTAAACAACCATATAAAACCTCGTTCTTCCATTGTTCGATAACACAAATCAGTCGGATTCCTGCTACTAATCCCGTTAGTGGAACTCTTCCACCAATTCCGTTAAGGATTCATCTGAAACCAGGTGTTATACTCTATTACCAAAATCAGTCTCTTTAAGAACTCATGAAACCAGGTGTTATACTCAATTACCAAAATCAGTCTCATTATGAACTCATGAAACCAGGTGTTATACTCTATTACCAAAATCAGTTTCATTATGAACTCATGAAACCAGGTGTTATACTCTATTACCAAAATCAGTCTCATTATGAACTCATGAAACCAGGTGTTATACTCTATTACCAAAATCAGTCTCATTATAAACTCATGAAACCAGGTGTTGTACTCTATTGACTCTGATGACACATTTTAAGCAAAGATATAAGCTCCATTACCATACATCAGTCTCGTTAAGAATATACATGAAACCGTTATTTACCCTCTGTTACTCTACACCTGTTACTGGTTCCAACTGAAAATATTAAGTGGTGTTATCTATTTTAAAAGTTACCAAACTTCAAACCCATTACTTCAGTGAGAAGGAAAATCAACACATGAAATGATGGACAAGTAAAGATCGTAAGTAACATAAAGTTAAAGTTTTCTTCTTCATCATCAGAATCTTCTAATTATTTCTAACCATCATAAAGGGCGTCCTCTAAACAAGTACAACTGACAAATGACATTAACAGTTTCTTCTTCATCAGAACTAATAATATCCGTAAAACAAGGCTTCCGAAGTGTCCAACATACCATACCAATACCTGGTGCAGACGTTGTTAAGAAAAAACTCATGTAAAATACATATCTCGTGCTCTAAACGGTGAAACAGTAATGTAGTTGTGAGTACATTCTGGTTGTTGGATGTCGATCCCATTTATCTAAGCGACGTATGGTGTCACGTGACAATGCATAATTTAGGCGTTGTCTTGGCGACTAAAGCTTTTCACTTAGTAATTCTTAATTGAGCCTTCGGGTGTCAAATTGGCTAACGGTAAACGATCCTGGCATCTTTATACACAAATCCAATTTGAGGAGGTCCTCAATAATTGAGTGTTCTGATCGTTACCTTCGTAAGACGGAAGAAGTGTATTAAGAACACGAAGATATATGATGACTACGTGGCTCCATCCGTCGACTGTCGCGTCCAAGACTTCTGTTTAGCCGTCAAGTGTCACTTTACCGACGTGCTTCAAGACAGACCCGTCTTTGTCTTGAGGTAAAATTCACCATGAATGAAACTGAAAACACTCACCTAATCTTGTTATTTTATTAGGCTAAGTCGAGTTAACTTTCGCTTTCCTAAGGCGCGACACGTTAAGAAGAATTAGCCGACGCCAGGGGATAGAAAGAAGAGAGATATCTTACCCGTGTATTTTTTTAATTTTTCTGTTTCTTTGTTCGGAAATAGTTTCGAATTGATATATATGGCCACTTTTGGCAGCGAAAGTTATTAAACTACTTGCTGCTACATTCTGCTTCAGTCGAAAGGCACTAAATTAGGCTGTAACCCGATAAGCAGACGAGTTTCTTTTTCTCGTGTTGAAAGTGTCTACTTTGTAGCGGTTTTTAGATTTTACCTTTGAATCAAACCTACAAGTAAATAGTTAGAAGTTAAGACCAGAAAAGACAACACTGGACTACAAAGTTGAACTGTATTATTATTATATTAATGATAATTCGTTTACTCATAATCCGATTAATTAGAAATAAAACTCTTTTTAATTCTAATAATTCTAGAGATTTTTCCTAAAAGGTCACGTTTAAGCATTAAGCCCAAATTTGTTATTCCTCAAAGTCCTTCAGAAGGCGAATTCCTTAAGTAATTTCTATTTTTTTTACAAGACTTTGTAAATGAATAGACATGTGTGTGTGTGTGTGTGTGTAAGTTAAGTAAATATTAGTTCATAGCATTTTCGATTGTCCCTGGTGAGGAGATTACTAGAGCAACTTTTCGTTTGTCTCTGGTGAGGAGATTACTAGAACAACTTTTCGTTTGTCTCTGGTGAGGAGATTACTAGAACAACTTTTCGTTTGTCCCTGGTGAGGAGATTACTAGAACAACTTTTCCATTGTCCCTGGTGAGGAGATTACTAGAACAACTTTTCCATTGTCCCTGGTGAGGAGATTACTAGAACAACTTTTCGTTTGTCCTTGGTGAGGAGATTACTAGAACAACTTTTCGTTTGTCCCTGGTGAGGAGATTACTAGAACAACTTTTCCATTGTCTCTGGTGAGGAGATTACTAGAACAACTTTTCGTTTGTCCCTGGTGAGGAGATTACTAGAACAACTTTTCGTTTGTCCCTGGTGAGGAGATTACTAGAACTACTTTTCGATTGTCCCTGGTGAGGAGATTACTAGAACAACTTTTCGTTTGTCCCTGGTGAGGAGATTACTATAGCAACTTTTCCATTGTCTCTGGGGAGGAGATTACTAGAACAACTTTTCCATTGTAAATACCGTATCTGAAACAACACAAGAACAAATATTTCTTCATCATTTTGTAATTTATGTTACGGATTTAAATTTTTGACGATGTCCCCAGTGAGTCAGTGATAAGTTAACGGACCTACAACGCTAAAATCAGGTATTCGATTCCCCGTGGGGGGACAGAGTTCAGATAGACTACCATGTAGCTTTGCCCTAAAACAAATAAACAATTTTTGGAGACTTATAAGCTGATTTAAAGAAGTTGGTTTCTGTTAGATATAATATCGATAATTTAATTTAATGCTTTTAATATTTTTTTATAAATAATGAAAGACTTTGAGAGGTGAAGCCAGTTCTATAGAGTTGATTTCATTTTAATATGCGCTTAGTGTTATTTCACTAACTATTTCACCGCTAGAAATGCTTGTATTTTCACAAAAACATTCAAGCCACCTGGTTTTGAAATCAATAAGCACCCAGAATATCTCTCGACGATATGGTATATTTCTTTCAGGTTTTCCTAAATATCAAATTATCGCTCATAACTTGCGTGTGGTAAAACTGTCTTTTAAAAGGTTTCGGGGAATAATAGATTACGCTTCCACTCAGAATTTGCATAAATATTGAATAGTTCAGCTGATCTTTAAAAGATAGTTCGCGGAAAAAAGATGATGGAGAAAATGAGCTTTTAACATTTTCTAGAAAACATGAAGGTGTAATTCGCTTATACATTTATGAGTGATTTTAAAATGAAGATTAGCTGTAGTATTTCTGATTTATGTTGTTTTTTTCTATTTTCTTCACTTTATGCCAGTGAAAACCTACGAAGATACTTAACAATATTAAATACTTAATACTTTAAAACCCTAAAAATGTTCTGCATACGAACTTTATATTGAGATATAAGTAAAAATCACATTCATCATTAACATCCTCGAAATGAAACGCTAATGTTTGTATAATAATGTTTCTGTATATAACTGAATACAGAGGTAGGATACGTTATATCAAAACTAGCTTGGCGGACTCTGAATATACGGGTCTTTGTTCGCGTCCCGTCAATACCAAAACAAATACAAATATAGGTGACGGTCAGATCCCATTATTCGGTCTTAGAAGAGTAGCCCAAGTGTTGACGGGGAGTATTGTTGACTAGTTGCCTTCCCTCTAGTGTATCAGATCAAAATTAGGGACGGCTAGTGCGTATGTATTTGCGCAAGTTTCCGAAAACAAACAGACAATATTCTATGAAATTCTGGAACAGCTATTTGTTT